ATATGACATTTAAAAAGAACTCATTCTGGTACAGCATTTACAGATAATATTGAAGGAAATAAACCTGTCTGATGGTTATGTATGCATTTTTTGTGATGAAACATTGTATTTCTTTTCAACTTCTATAACCAGACAAGTATATTGTGTTGATACATTCTTATCAGAGCTTCTTTAAATATTCTATATTTCTTAGTTTGTAACTACTTTTGGTCAAGGTTCCTTATGAATTATTGGAGAGTTTCATATTATTGGATTCGTTATTTACAAATAACTCTCCTAAAGAGATTTTTTTTTATTAAATATTAACAAGATTAGGTAGAAATCTGAGTAAAAATAAGATATTTATTTAGTATATGCCTAATAAAAATGGCTACAAAATATTTATGCATGTACATGTTGTCTACATTTTACTATGAAATTGGCCATGTATTTAATTTTAATCAGACTGCAATTAGTTAGATGCCAGAGAAAAAATATTCATTATAATACATTGGTGATTAAGTGTCTCATTAACATTTTTAATGCAGATTTTTGTAGCTTTGACAGCAAACTAAGCTGATAAAAAAAATTAATACATATCATTTTTCTGTGAAGAAAGTTTTTAAACCCTAAAATTACTTAATAATATAAGTAAGATTTTTTTGTGAGCCTTTTATTTTAGCACTACCTTTGTTCTTATTTGTTTGCAAGCTGGTGTTGGAAAATTAATCATTTGATACTGCTGTAAAGGTAATATGACATATACCAAACTTGAATTATGGAAATATTCCTTAGTCAATCATTCTCAAAACATTTAATTAGTCTTAACAACAAAATCTATAAGTTTTAGCTAACCAAAGTCATACAAAATAAATTATAATTCTTTCTTTATATCTAATGTTATGATAACATTGTAAAGTCTGATGAAATTCTTGGAAGTCATTGGGAAATCTATTTTCTAGAACTTGTAAACAGATAAAACTGTTTCCAAGAAACTACAGGGAACTGTGGGATGGCTACTTACTGTGTTATTGGATTTCTCGTGATGCTGCTGAAATACAAATCCTTTGACTCTAGAATTGAAATTGAAGTTTTTAAAATTTAAACCTATTTAATATAAACACATATAATGTATTTAAAAAAGAAGGCTGGGTATGGCCTAATGGCAATTTGTACTCCCAGGATCTGGGAAGTTTCAAATATCAAAAATTTTATATTTGATCAATTGATTGTATATTGTACTGAACAAAGGCCCTACAAACCATGATTCTTGAGATTCAATGTGCAAAACCCTCATCAAAATATGTTAATATCATCCCTGGGAGTAGGAATAGAGAACATGCAAAGTATGTCTCTATGGTAAACAAGGGGTTAACTTTACTTAATAGTAAGTATATTCTGTTTACAATTATACACATCCTGGCATTAATTTTATTTTTGTATCAACAAGCACCTTAGTGTACAATATACAAGAAGATTAAACAATATTTTACTCATAAATTATATCAATTACATGTAGAGTCCATTAAATATTCTATGATCTGTGATAAACAATTCTAATGTAATTGGAGTAAAATCACATTAGTGTAGAATAATACTGGAGAAGTTAACAGTGTTGTATAGACTTCTTGTCTATGTTACTTTTTCTACTGTTAGTATTAGCATTCCAACTACACTGAAAAATGGATGATTTATTACTAGTAGTGTGACTATACAAAAGGCTAATTGATAAATTATTACCAGTTCTTTAATTAAACTGAAAGCTGATTATATTATTGCCAGTTTTTCGCAATACTAAAAGTTAATTGTTATATCTTTATCAGCTAAATGAAGTATTATTACCTGTATTTAATTATTCATATGCATAATGCTGGATAACAGATTACTATCAGTATTTTAACAATGTTGAATGATATATTATTACTGGAGTATTTTAACTTGTAACCATCTGCATAAAATATCATTACCAGTTTCTAAATACTTAAAGTCAAATAACATATTATTGCCATTTTTTAAATTATACTGAAAACATGAAAGATGCATTGGAAACACACACACACCTAATAGGAATAAAATCTACGTAACACACACTATGTTGTTAGCCCTGCTGAAAACTTATTACTACAGTGGAATATCTTTATAACTGAAAATTCAAGTTGTATTGTTTGTTCTCATGATTTCTCTACTCTAGTTAGCATTAAGTGTTATACTATTCTATAGACTACATTACAACTTCCTGCATCTAGATGCATCCTATGAAGGGCCAGATTTATATGGACTTATGTATAGGAATTACATATGATATTAAGGTCTGTCTGAATTATTCAGAGGTACAAATCTGTGGCATCACTGTTACATATTCTTCAAATCATACATAAATATAGTAGGTTCACCACGGTGAATAAAAGATACCATCAAAATGCACCATTTTCAGTGAAATTAAAATATTTTTCAGAAGGGATATGTCCCTAAACCTCCAGATAAATATACCATTAATTTATTTTTTTCCCCCAAAAAATAGCATCCCTTTATAAATTTATGCCAATGCTTTTGAGATACTTACCATGTTATTTGCAATGTCTTGTATAATCAAAATCTTGTATGGTTTTAATCAAAATATAACACTAAATTAATAATCAGACTTATCATGTCTAAATTGAAAACAATATGGTTATTACAAACAGAATACAATTGGAATACAAAAGATATTGTACTTTAATCCTAGCAAAACAGCTTTATGAAAAGTAGGAGGATACAACTCACAATTTTATGGCAATAATATGAATTTGAGAATCCTGTCAGGAAAATTGCTACAAACACTGCAATAAATGTGTTTCAAAACTAAAATACACGTCTGGGATGAGTTAATGATACACAGAAATATATGTTGATCAATAATATTTGTTTGAGTAAAGAGAGGATTTTTACAGTCCTTACTCTGTTCTTTAACACTAATAAAGTGACATGAATTGCATACCTTCAAAAAGGTTCAATCATTTACCAATTATTATATTTTTTTTTTCGAAGATCTCTTTGTAGCAGAAGATTTATTATTATTTTTTAGTATAACCATAGCAAGGTTAAACGAGTGTGACAATGATACTATTTTAGTTACATATAAGTATTTTTTGGTAAAATTACATAAATTGGAACAAAAAATGAGCAACAAAATACCAAGTTAAATTGTTTAATGTCTTCTTTGTTAGCCTTTAGTAACAAATCTGGTTATTCAGCATTTCATAACTGCCTTTATGATACCACAAGTTTTAGTACCATATATTAAACATGTATTGATTATGTTTGTAAATAAATAGATCTAAACTTATAAGTCACCGAATAAAAGATTTCTAGTGCTTAGATAACCATAAACTTTGATTTATTGAAATTGTTTCTGTATTTTCTTTAACACTAGTTGTTATTGAAAAAAAATATTATTCATAGAAGTATGTGCGGGATTTACATGCATTTAGAAATGTAATTTTTTCTAAGAAACTTTTTTTCAGGTGAAATGTATAACATATTTCTGTTTCAGAACAGCCAAAAGGAGTTCTAAGTTCATAACTTATTATTTAAGGTATAATTTTATAATCAGTACCTAATTTGTAGCATTATTATAAAAATTCAATATGGGAATATTATTTTATTAAGAATGAATCATTCCTAAATCGTGTTAATATATATTGTGTATATACACATATGTGTGTTGTATTTATAGTATAATGCTACAGTATGGTTCCTTTTTAACTTGGAACATCCATCTATTGAACATTTAAAGTAATTATATTATTATGGACATATTTGTTTTGTTACTGAGTAGTAAATAAGAAACATTACGTTATATAGTTATTATATACTGTATAGTAATACTGTATGTAAATTTATGTTTATATATAAAGAACAGTGAGAAGACCTAATGAATCTCCATACCAATTTTGGTGAAGATCCATCCACACTCTGCAAAGTAGTTATATGGTCATACAGACAGAATTATTTTATTTATCTAGAGTATTTAGAATATTCAAATTATTCTGAAAATTAAACATGTAAAACATTCCCTTAAAAGTGAGAATACTGCTTTGACTTGGAAAGAAGTAAATACATGACACATATACATGTTTATGAATAAATCACTTTAAAAGTGGTCATTTTACTAGAGAATGTATTACAATGCACTTCCTCAAACACATACACACACATTTATCCTGTTATTCTAACTTACTGAAAGCCCTTTCAGAACTAAGAAACTACCAGTGTTTGTAACTAACTTATGTCTATACAGTTAAGGATATGATGATGTCCAGTCACATACTTCTTGTCAAAGCAAAACAATCTTCAAAATAAACTCATTAGGTCCTTGCAGGAGTACATACCAATTTGTCAGTTTTGCATTTTTTGGTTTTTATGGACATTTTTGTGGTTTTATCACTACTCTGCCTCCTGTAGATGGATCTTCACCAAATTTGATGTGGAGATCCATTGGGTCCATGGGGAGATACATACAAATTTTCAGTTTTGCATTTTGCAGTTTTTATGGGCATTTTTTTTTTACCACTACTTCACCCCCTGTTAATGGATCTTCACCAAATTTGGCATGAAGGTTTGATGGGCCTGTGAGAAAACTGTTTTGCAGTTTTTATGGGCGTTTTTGCAATTACTAATCAGGGAAGCAACTTTTCATGTCCTAAGATAACCTTTCATTAATCATGAATTTACATAACTTCTGGTCTTTGGAATGGGTACTCCAGCTAGTACTAAAATAAACTATGTTGATGATTCTCAGTTTCTATCTCATCATGGTCAGTTTTACTGGATGAGTTTCCTTAACATAAGAGGAAGTGATTTAATAAATATGTAATTATCTGCTTTTGGACTAGAGACAAGCTTTGTGTCAGCTGATGTTTTCAGTGAAATTTTATTACGTACTGTTTTCACATACATTACATATTTAATACTTAGTGATCAACATCAAACATAGATAAATATGTATTTCCACATAAACAGGATTTTCCTTTTGAAAAAATCTCATCTACATCAGTGGACATTTGTAATGTGCCCTCCAACACTCTGGTGGAGCTCTGGTGGGATGGCAACTCTGAGTTGTTTATTACCTTAAAATACAAACACTTTTATAAATTTCAAAAATAACAACAGTGTGGAAACTAAGGTAAATTAAATATTACCAAGTTATAATAACTACCTGTAACAAAACTATGGATTGCAAAAATAATATTAAAGTATTACTTCATAACAGGATAAAATGGTATTCACTTTGTCAGGGTTACTTCTCACTGATTGAAGAAACATGCTCATTCATCAAAGTTCAATTCCTAAGAATTAAAAAAAAAAGTACTCATCTGATCAAGAGTAATTTTCTAAGAATGAACCATACTGTTTAGCTAATTTCATTTGAAAAGTTTAAGAAATGCCAGTTTGTTCTATACCATATTACATATATATATATATATATATTATTTTTCTTTTTAATTCTGTTTGATCTATCTCATCAAATTACATACATAATAAAACTATAACTGAAGTTTTTATATTTGAAATTTGGTTTGATATAACTTTTTATTGAGATTTGTTTGGGTAAACTAATACATAAATACAAACTACTAATTCTAATTTTTTTGGAGTGTAGAAATATATAAACCTCCACTTGTGTAAATAAAACTTGGCAACACATGAAACTTAGCTGCAAATATGTGGTATTTTTACAAATTTGTTCCTTACTTCTAGCACAAACAATTCAAAAACAGTGATTTTTTTTAGTTGGTGGTTACAAAACCTGGAAAATTTAATTAAGTGTATTTCCTTGCTTTAAGTTTCTAAAGCTAATAAAATAATAAATTGTTTGTATGCTAAAGCTACTTTCTTATAATTTATTTGCTGAAGACTTCCCATTTTTCCCTGTATGGTTGTGAGTTTCTAAACCAATTATGTTCAGAAAGTTTTTGTGATCATATGCCTTGATATCAGTCAACTATATTATTTTTAACTTACACTACATAAAAGTAATAACTCGATTGTAATAGTTCCCTGAATGTATTTTATTTTATTAGAGTAACTATTCTGGCAATTGCTTTTTTTCTTTACAAAAAAAAAAGCTTCGGGTTTGTGGTAGCCTAATACTAAAGAAGTATGTTTAATGGTAGATTTTGCCCAAACACGTGCTAAACTCTAAAACTTAGTAGAAGTGGTGGACTCTTTAATACACGTTCATGTAATTTAAGGATATCAATGTTCGTCCATTTAGGCCGTCCCATCCACTAAACTGAACCTTAAAATAAAACTCTCAAAACCAGCCCTTATCATTCAAATATTTGTCAAGCCTTCCCTTAACTAAACTTTTAATTAACCCATCTACCACATCTGAAGGCAACCATTTCCAAAGATTAACTACCCGATTGGAAAAATACAAAGGTGTATGTGTTTCAAAGGAATATAGAGGTAACGTTTATAAGTAAGATAGAGTGTGTAAAATGTTGTGAAATTTCTTTTTAAAAAGGTGGCATGACATCATTAAGCTTACGTACATTTGTTACTTTTTGTTGAGAGGAGTTAATAAGGATGTACAAAGGGATAAAAATTTGGCCTAAATGTTGAGTATAAACTTGTCTTTATGAGACAGTTGCTTGTTCTGTAAAATGAAGGTCAAAACACAAATCGCCAGTTAATCTTCTAACACAGAATCTATAGAATACGCCGAAGTACGTATAAAACCTGGTTCAGATCAATTAGGGTTGATTTCGGTTAATTCTCCCATAGCCCCTTGCGCTACAGCCATGAAGTATGATTGGGCGTAAACTGAATAAAAAAAAAATTGTTGAAGCATTGTAGTTACGGGCGACGTAATAGCAATTTGTATTATTTTCATAAATGCCATATGAAAAGAGTCTTTTTAATACCTTTTCCAAAGCTGTAATACAAAATGCAAGAGACGCATCAACGTTTATGGTCATAAACGTTTATCAAAAAAAAATTAACAAAGAAACACTTACAAGTTACATTTGTTGCAAACGCTGGACGTACAGTTACAAATGAAAATCCAGACCATATACCTCTGTGGTATTCAGAAAAGCAGATAAACCCTAACAATTTTAATACGTATATGATTAACTACGCAGTTAATATATGACCTAATTATGTTATATGCCTACCGTCAAATGAAACTCAAAAGAGGTCAGGTAAAAAGTAAGATTAGTGACAACTTAGTTAAACATTCCCCTGTTCTCGTTTAACACTAAAAAAGTTACAAATAAAGTCGCTCTCTTTGTTTATTCACCTAAAAAACTAATGTTGATTTAATAATAGAAGTGCGGAGATATTTTTCATTTTAGTTATTTTCTTTGTGAGGTTAAATGTGCTGATGCCTGATGGGATATTTGTTTTTCTTTTAGTTGAATCAATTGAGCAGAGCAGCAACAGTGCATAAAGAAGTTCTACTACGTTATATAACATACATCTATTTAGATACATTTTTGAGTTCTCTAAAGAAAGGTTCATAATTATGTTTTAATAAAACTGTATATTTATGAAACTGTTCTAAACGGCTGCTCGTCTCTAGAACAGATGTTTACATGTACTACAGTAGTACACGTAACAACAAAAAGGCTCTGTTATTAAGCGGAAAGTCAGTTGCATTTTCTCCTGGCCGTACATTTTTCAACTAATAAGTTGAATTTATTAACAATCAGCTGTAAAGTTGAATCAGACTAATTTATACCCGTACATAGTTGACTACAATTTAGAAAATTTAAATGTTTCTATTTCTACTGTTGCGTCAGCGAGTCACATGACTACTGTGACGCCACGTTTCTAGAACTATCCTGTACCTT